CTAACTTCCGTGTTACCCCATTGTGCCGCTAAGCATAGGGTCTCTACTGCTCTCCTTCTCATTCCACGGCATGCCCCCCCGACATCCGCGACAATACCCACTTCCCAGCATTTGCATCTCAACATGGCCTCGTTTTCATGTTGTAGCTCATGCTCCTGGTTCTGTGTCAGCAGTGTGGGGAGTGACCTTTCCTTACAGTTTCCTTACAGTGGGGTGTGCTGATCACGCAGAGAGAAGAAAGCAGGCTGGACACAGGAAAGATTCGTGTTGTTAATTTTAACTGACTACTATACAGTACATTTGTTAGACTGTTGTTTGTTTTTGTTGATCAGTGTTATTCTAATGAATTTAAAGCCACTGAATTAGTATTTTAATGATCATATGAGGGAGGGTTACTTGTGTCTTTTAAGCACACATACTGTATACTGTAGTAAGTTATGTGACAGTGTAAGGGTGGTCTTTGTTATATGGTATGTGAGTTTGGCTGTTCACTTCAGTTCTCTACACCGAACCTTTGTTAATGTCAAGATCCTGCTCTATAGTACTGTTTGTTGAATGTGGATTAGATTGCAAAACAACTTTGGTGAATCCAGGGGAAGCAAGTGACACAAAGCTTAACACCACTTAAAGCTGTTAGGGAACTTCTAATCTTTTAAAAGAGCTATGGAAGTTATCATTGCAGCCACAGTCTGGGGCTTCTTCTGTATGCCTCCCATGTGAAAGTCAGGGTAATAAATCAATTTAAGAAGTTTATTTCATTGCCCCTTTATGTGTATTTTATGACCATGAATATGTGTCTTTCTGATCATAGATGGGTATCTGCAAAAGGGGCAAATCGTTTTTTCTTCTAAAATGCTCTTTTTAACATTTTTAAACATACCGTATATGGGAATACAAAATAGGAGCATGTGTAAAATTCTAAGAAAAGAAAACATTTTCTAAGGGAATTAATGGTAACGTTTTTAGACTAACCAAAATGTCAGGGTTTTTTTTGTCTTATAAGAAAAGAGCAGATTTTGCATATTACAATGTCCCGCAGTTCCTTCAGATTAATGCCACAGTTTAACCAATTAAAAAAAAGAAAAGTTGTTCTTTATTGCCTCTGTACCTTCATTAAAATTTTAACAAACTTAAATCGTTCATGTGATTATATAAATTGTCATTGAAATTCATTTTTTGTTCCTTCACAGAATCCACTCTGATAGTCAGTATATATATCAGGACTAGGTGAACTATACATATATAATATTCATTGCTTTTTCATTATACTGTAACATTTCAGAGTAATTCCTTACTAAATCCAGCCGTTCTATTTTGAGAGAATGTGCCTTTTTAGCCCATGGTCCACCTCATCCACCGTACATGAATCCTCTTCTCTTTTTCCAATTGAAAAGCACAAACAGCTGACTGCCCAGGCTGTTTATCTCAGCCCGGGCTCTTTTCAGCCACCTGAACGAGAGAGAATAGTCCACACCATTAAAAACCATATTATAAGTCGGACGTGTCATGGAATGTCAAGACAATTATGTTGGTGTTGCTGTAACAACAAGCTGAATTTAGATCCCACAATGAAGAAAAAATATCATTATGCTCAGAGTGACATTTCTTCTAATGAAATCCAGGTTGCTATTATAAGTAGTGTTGGTGGGTCAGTGGTGACACTTTTCCTGCTGAACCAGAATTTCCCAAACCGATGCCCCAGTTTGGTGACAGGGTACACTCCCCTGTAGGAAGCGCTATGCTTTGGATGAGCCATGAAACCAATTAATTATAAATTGATGACTCCTTCAATTAAAGGATCAATTAAAGATGCTTTGGCATTGTTCATAAGTGTAGGGTTATTGACCATGATGTTCTGGCTATATTCTACCCTAGGTTTGCGGTATCTGTCATACAGTTCATAAAGATTGCCCCTAATTCAATAGGTGAAGTTTTTTCTCACTTTTCCATTTCATCTGCTGTGCAGTTCTGCTGGTGCTGGATAGCTGCAGTGAGTCACCCTGGTGGGGCTGCACTACAGTGGAGAATGAAGTGTGTCCCTTCCTATTTTTAAAGTCCTTTTGATTCCTTGGGATGAAAAGAGCTATACTGTACAAGTGCAAGGAATTCATTAGAAATTAATTGATCTTGAATCTTTCTAAAGCGTCTAACTGCATATATTTGCTAAATGCATTTTTACAGTGGATTTCAGATGCATTGACATGCCAGCTTGTAAGCGTCTGTAGCTCAGCTGATGTCAGTAATAATTTAGTATTTTGTTCTGCATGAAAAGTAACAATTGCTTTTTGAGTACAGAGAGGAAATGACAAGAGAAGATCTTAACATTGCTGCGCTGTATTTTAATGTAGCCGTTACACTGAGTTTCTTTGTTCTCTTTTTCACGTGCTGCAGTGTATTTTTCATTAGCATCAGTGACTAAAATTGTATATTATTATGTTGGCCATTATTGACCCCCCGTGAAGAAGGGGGTCATCTGGCACAGAGTGAATTTAATCAAGCTGTTTTTTTTGTTTCGGCACACATCAAGGTTAGAGCTACTGTATCACTGCCAACAGGCTGCTTCCACTCGCCGAGCAGCAGCACAGCTTGGCCTGGTAATTAATTCCAGAGTGATTGTGGCTCCCCACTGCCGATGGCTTTATTTACAGGTCCGTTTGACCTGTCCCTGTTGCTCAATGAGAGGTGTAAATCCATTTAATCCATTGGAATATATTGCTTGTTGCAGTATCTAACCTATCGCCAGCCTCCACACAAATCTTGACACAGAGACCGAGATGACTGGTGGTCTCATTCTGCTACAACCTTTGTCCACCAGAACAGTCTTTGAGATATTCCAGCTGGTATACCTTCATAAGCCTGTTCTCCCGTTGAGGACGTGGTTGCCAAATTCCTGATCGCTGAGTGTGGTGGATACAAGGATCCTGTCAGGCCTTTAGGAGAACCCTAGCTGCTCCTGCCCTGAGGAGCTTCTTCTGTTCTTCATGCTGTTCCACATGCTTGGCAAGATTGAGTGGAGTTTAAAGTGAATGTCTTCGCCATGAAATTGAAGAGGGGCCTGTCTTGTATTTTGGAACAAGGTTTTCTAGAGAAATGTTGTGTTTTGACAAAAAGCGTTGCCATTTTGTCTTTATTGGTAGAAACCACTTTTTTTTTTTACTCTTTTCCCTGCACGTTTGGCTTTTGAAATTGGCAAAGCTTAGCCATCATTTGGGAGGGTATTAGATCAACCCAGATGGCCTACACTTCTTACAAGAAGGGCCCTTGATTTTTTTTTTTAATGCTGCCACTAGCACATAACTTTACAAAGTATACCCAAGCTCGTTGTGAGGTGCTGTGTTTGGTCTTCAACAAGCCCTTCAACGATCATATCCTTTTCTCTCTCTGGTTATTGAATATGAAAAACACAGCGAAGAAATGCATAGCCTGATAATCCTGTTAGAACAGACTGCCTGGAAAAGCTGAAAGGAAATGGCATTTTTCAAGGCTGTGATAGCTGTGGATTCGAGGGTTGTATTAAAATCTGTCAAGAGAGATTCTTCAGGCTTGTTGATGAATGAGTCGCCCGTGACATGGTTGCTACTGATGTAACTGTCAAGGTCATCCTTAGTCTTTTCAAAGGGTGTCCAACAAGTAGTCTGATCCCCTCCATGTCAACTCGTTATTTTGTATTTTGTATTTCAGAATTTGTAAAGTAGACATAAAATAAAATTATCATGCAAATCCTTCATCCTTGGTGACCTTTGAGAAAGGACCAGTTTTCTTGTAGTGTTTTGTTGCTGTTAAATTATTTAGTGTTTTCTCTCTAGTAAAAGGACATTCTCTTGTGTATAGTTTTTTTTAAAGAGGGCAGAATAGCATTTTCTTTAGAGTAAGAGATTCACCTGTGTACCATTGTTTTTCTCACATGCTTGTGCATATAAAAGTACAAAAGAATGTGGCTGTCCAAAATGGAAGAAATATCCATTCTTCTGGAATTGATAAATATACACCCCCCACCTTGTTACAAGCATAGCTAGAACATGGGATCTTCGAGTGACCACTAGGTGCCAGTATTGTCCTGGGTTAATTTACTCAACAGGATCAAGAACCGGGCAAATTATATACTGCTCTACCAAGAACTGTATCAGTAATTGGGTACATTCATATTCAAAATAACATTAATTTGATAACTGAATTGCACTTTTATATTGACTTTTGAAAAAATACATTTCAGATGATACATAGTCTAATAAATGTGACTAGAATCTTTTTTATGTGGTATATTCATCAATTCTTGATTAGTTTAGTGGTTAATTACCTGCAGAGGATCAGAGAGAATGTTTCAGCTCCTCTGCTGGCATATTTTTCAGTGTCTGTAAACTTGTGTATATTAAGACATAAAAGATTTTGGTGTTGCCAGATATTTATAGTGCTAAATTAAATTTTAATTTGTGGAATACAATTTTCATTTGACATTTGAGAGACAATCTTTTAATAAAAAAGTGAATCCCATAACTTATGTATTCAGTTTGTTTTCATACACTGTGTCACTCAAAGCCAAATGTTGATGGAGAATAGTTTTAGATGAGATATAAAAATGCTAATATTCCTGTCTGGAAAGGTACATTTTAAGCAGCCTGCAATGACAGTACTGACTGCCAGTCTGGCTCCAAGTGCTCTAAATGTCACTTCCACTCTTGAACCTGGAAATAAAGATTGCAGACCAGAAAACAAGTGACATTTTCAGAGCTGGACTGATGTCTCTTCAACAGTGATTTCCATATTTCTTTACCATTTAGATTTGTACTCAAAATTGCATAGTAAACCATAACGGGCATTTGGGAGATTAAAAAATATTTTATTTATGAAAGTATAAATATATTAATAAAATATATTTTAAAATATATTATGAATAATATGTACATTCACATTTCTGAATAAAGACATTCTAATAGTGGGTGGTGTAGCAGAGCAGGAGTAATAAATCCACCTGTTCCTCTGTTTTTCCTGTCTCTCTGCAGCCCGTGCCTTGTGCTGTGTGTCCCCTGGACGAAGAGAGGTGATGTCTTCGCTATAGAGCAGCCCAACCACTTACGCCAGAAATGAGCCACCTGCAGGAGGCGGAGCTGGGGGAGGAGCCTGGCAGCAGTGGGGCGGGGCTCAACGAGGCAGTTGAGGCTGATCTCGAGTGTCCCGAAATCGAGGAGGAGCAGCATGTCACCACCCTGAACCCCCAGCGCCGCAGGCAGGACAGTTGTGCCACAGGTGACACCGGGAGACCTAGTCGATTACGCCAGCATCCTAGTAGCCACAACAATGAGGATGCCGGGGAACACCACCAACACCCACAGCATCCTGCGGCAGGTCGATACCGCAGGTACGATGCCTCCACAGGTGGAAGCCGAGCTCGAGGACAGCGCAGGCCACAGGACGATGCTGAAATGGAGCAGCAGCACCGAACACAAGTTATGTCCAGACCAGCAGTCACGCGGTATCGTAGGCAGGCTGACACTGAGGCGCGGGCAAGAGCCCAGCAGCAGAGGCAGAGACGGCAGCAGCAGCAGAGAGAGGCCGAAGAAGCAGAGCTACAACAATCTCTGCAGCCCCCACCTCTACCAGCCCAGGCTGCAGCCCAATATCAGGCCGAGGACGAAGACCCTGAGGAGGATGAAGGAGGATCGGCGCTGGCTCGGTCTGCTAGCACCGAGAGTGGCTTCCACAACCATACGGACCGAGCCGAGGGTGATGCTGTCATGTCCTTAGAGGCTGAGGTGGAGGCCACGTCCGGAGGAGAGGCAGGGGAGGATGAGAATGCTTACGCAGTTCACTACCGGCCAGAGGCAGAGGAGTACACGGAGAGTGCAGAAGCCGAGCAGCATGGGGTGGCCGTCCAGGCTCCACCTCAACCCCCTCCTCTCCCTCGCGACCCGCTGCCACACGTCCGGCAGTTGGACCAAGATGGAGAGGCCATGAACCCAGCTTACTCAGGCTACGTCTATACCCACCGGCTCTTCCACGGCAGTGGCGAGGAGCAGGGCGAGGGAGGGCAGCCAGAAGATGAGCCTTATGCTGAGCCGTATGCCGATTATGGGCTGCAGGAACACGTTTACGAGGAAATCGGGGACACCCCACCCGCTGAAGGGGAGCAGCCCCAGCATCGCAGGGCAGGCTTCCGTCTCTTTGACCATGATGACTACCGGCAGGAGGCCCTAGGCGCCCGGCTGCACCACTACGACGAGCGGTCTGACGGGGAATCGGACAGCCCCGAGAAAGAGGCCGAATTCGCCCCTTACCCGCGCATGGACAGCTACGATCAGGAGGAGGACATCGACCAGATTGTGGCCGAGGTCAAGCAGAGCATGAGCTCCCAGAGCTTGGACCGTGCTGCTGCAGAGGACCGGCCTGAGTCTGACCAGAGCTCGCAGGAGCAGGGAGACCACGGGGAAGGGAGGCCTCCTGGAGAGGAAGGAGGCAGCCCCCCAAGACCTTCAGCCCACAGTCCTACTGGGGAGCAACCAATACAGAGGCACAGCAAGGAAAAACGAGATGCCATCTCACTGGCTATCAAAGACATTAAGGAGGCCATTGAAGAAGTGAAGACAAGGACCGTTCGGTCCCCTTATACTCCTGATGAGCCTAAAGAACCCATCTGGGTGATGAGGCAAGACATTAGCCCGACCAGAGATTGTGACCTCCAGAGGCCTCTAGGTTTAGATGTAAGTATGAAAGGCGTTTCCCTTTTCATTTTTTTCCTTTGTGATTTGGCTTATTTTAAACCATATTGACAGGTGCAACAGTTTGCTATTTACATGTACAGCATCCACACACTTTGGCTTTTTTACATAGGTGCATACTGTAGGAGAGTAATTTGAGATTAATTTAAGTAAATTGAGAAAATGGAAAACACACTACAGGATACAGTACTACACTACTCACCTTTTAGCTGAACAAAGTAGGATCCCAAAAGAAGCCAACTTGTTGGTCATAAAACCTTCATCAGAGAATCAAGGTCACAAAACCATGTTTTTCGCTATTTCAGTGGCTTTATTCCAAAACAGAAATTTTTAGTGCCCGAGAGGAGCGTAAAGTATTGTCAGTTCTTTATTAAAATTGACTTTTGCTTACTTCGAAAAAAGCGCTGCAAGCAATAGTAATCTTTTTCATGGAAAATATGTTTCCACAGAGAATTTATTTTGAAACACATTGAAAACTCTTTCTCAGTCTAAAAACATTTGAGTTCCTCTTCCTAGTATCCATGCTGTGAATTTGTTGCACATTATTTTAAAAAGGTGGGCATTCCTTACAGGTCTTGTCTTCATCTGAATAATAGCAAGAGAGAACTTGGGACAGCCCTTATTAATGTTAATTAAATAAAGGTAGAAAGGCCCTTTGCACTGAATAATTTCACTTAACTTCCTTCAATTACAAGTCAGTAATACATACTGTATACAGTAGCATGAGGTTTGCTATTTGGCTTCAGTTGAAGAACATGTCTAATGTTTATGAACTGTTAGAAGAGTATATGGAAAATAATAAGTACTGCATTAAATTGCTCTGGGGTGTAGTCCTTTTTTCCTTCATATCGTCCATTAGTTTTGGATTAGCATTTTGAATGATTTTTGAGGGACTCACTACAGGGACGTATTCTCTGGAATGATTATTGGATCTGATCACAAACATTTAAAAATAAGGAAAGTGTTATTAAGTGTTTAGTGCCAGTTCAGCACAATTTGAAGTAAAAAATCTACATCTTGAGGAACAAGAAGAAATAAATACCTCACAGTGAGGTTCAGTTGATATTTAATACAATTTGTAAAGCAGTTATGGGATTGGCAGTCATTTTCAGAATAAACTCAGGAATTGTGGGTAATAAGGAGACCAATAATTTACATTTTTGTTCCTGTGTATTTACAGATTAGGTATTTTGCATGATCCCGTTTCCAAATTAACATACAAACACACACTTTGCCTTACACAGGCATGCCCAAACAAACTTTTTTCCAAACTGCCAACTTGAAAATAACGTACAAGGTCTGCCTGTTGAAAATAAAGACTACTCACGTAACAGAACAGGCTTGCTTAACCAAGCCTGAAGAGCTTATTTGCATTTAGAAATGTGTAGTAATGGAACTGTCCTGTAACCATTGACAGTATACTGATATGTACTGTATGTAGAGAAAAGATGAAAATTACGTGTACTTGAAAAACACAAGCAGGATGATCATATTTTTTACTCCATTGAACAGTTAGTAATTGCATAAAAGAAATGTTGTGATTCTGTGTCAAGCGTTTACATGGTATATTAAGCAGATGATACACTGCCCTCCAAATGAATTGGGACAGCTCCAAATATAATTGCTATCTTTGTTGTTATGTACTGTATTTGTAGCCATAAGATAAGTTTTAATGACAGGTACAGCGTAACATATGTTTTTGGAGTAATTATGTGTATACATTTGGTCAGATTAGAACAAAAACACAGTTTGTGTTCATGTGTTCATCCCAGTGATTTCAGGTGACCGTCAGTATTATGGGGCACATTAATTTTATATACATTTCTGAGTGTAAACGTCATTATTTGGTTGCATCTCTTTGAAGCAGCAGCTGCATAAAGTCAGAGGTCATCAAACTTTCCTTGTAATCATTTTAGATGCCTTGCTGCTGCCATTTTGAGTTCTTGCCTGTTCTTGGGGACACTTAATGTGTTATTGAGCGTGTACAAAACATGCCCAACTGGACTTAAATCTGAGGCCTGCTGTACTGTAGTTATTTCAGTTCTTTTCCTTAGATTTGTAATCTTATTCCATTTATCATGAACTGTTCAAATGACTTACACATGTGCACCACTGGCATGGTTTCCATATTTCTGGGCACATGTTGCTCCAGCTACAGTAAGTGTGAAATGCCCTGAACCCTGTTATTCCCATTGCATTTCATTGGCCTGAAGTCGGCCCTCCTTCCACCTGATGTGGTGTTAATGAAAGGGAAAAGCCTGCTCATTAGCTGTGCACAGAAATCTTGTGCTGTTTTCCTGGGAAAAGGGGGAAAACTGGGGTTGCCGTGGGCAGAGGACACACACAAGAGAGACTTACAACTGGGAATGCTTCCCGTGTCAGGTGACTGCTTGCCTGTTGTGTAAAAATGTGCTTTTATGGCAGCACGTATTGTTAGAAGTCAGTCATTTCTCTACCACTTCATAACTCCATGACCTTTTGAATGGCAGAACAACTACGTACAGACTTAATTGTAGTTGTTGTGTTCTTAACAGACAGAGGTATGAAATGGCTGTGCCAAACCGAGGTCTTTATAGATTCACCATGACAAGTGGCAGAGACCTAGGATTGTTGAGAGCTGAGTGAGGTCCCTCCCACACTTGCTCTTGGCTCCTTCTCAGCGCAAGTGGATTTACCTTTTACAAGACATTGGGGTTTTCGTGGGCAAGTCTTGCAAAAGTCAAGAAATAAAAGAAAAGATAACAGTTGCTTGCCAGGGATAGACTATGGCCTCAATTTCTTACCAGGACTAAGTAGCTTTCTGGGTTATCTAATGGATGAAGGGAAGACATTTGATTTAATAACCAAAGTTTCTTTTAATTATTCAGTGAGTACAATTTTCACATTTCTTTTGTTGATGAGCAGAAATCATGTTTGAAGTTTACGGTATTAAGAAATTGTCATATGTCTTAATTTTACACTGAAGTCATACTACAGTACATCCGCCCATCACAGGGCAGACACTCACGCCAGGGCCAATTTTCCTTAAGCCAATCAACCAACCAGTATGTCTTTGGACTTTAGCAGGAAACTGGAGCACCCAGAGAAAGCCCATACGAACACTGGGAGAACACAAAGACTCATAGTACTAACCTCTGTGCTAGAATGGTGCCCTGATTTCTTTTCATTCCTTGTAAATAATTTGGATAGCAAGGAAGTGAACGGTATTTTAAGAGATTTATACTGCATGTAATGATGTCTTCTAACCTGATTAAATTGCTTTTAGGCTGTTTTAGGGCATAATGCTTGCAAGTTGCACAGGAGTAGCAGTTCATTATTTGCGCCATTACACTGCAAGTCTTTATCTGTGCTTATGCTTTTTAAGACTGGTTGTCCTGCCTATGACTTTTCCTCCAAATTTTCCATAGATAATCAGGCAGCAGGGAGCAGTTGAGAAGGGCACTACATTCTTTTTGGCAAATATGAAGCACGCTTGGGAACACGCCGGTGTTGGTCTTCAAAACGTTTGCTGATATGCTCCGTAAAACATTTAAAATGTGTAACATCACACATCGAAAGTGTTCCGTGCTGTGGCATCACTGAGCCTGCTGCAGTAGGCGGTGCTGCCCCCTGTTGCCCCCTGGGAGCTCTGCTCTGTTGGCGTAGCAGAATTAACATCGGTTTGGGAAGCAGTGCTGTCCGGCCCCGAAGCCAGACTTGTACTTGTCACATTTCCAGAGGCATGTTTGACAGCCGGGAAAGGTGAGACGAAGATGAAACACTTCTGCAGCTCTTTTCCTCACGGGCTGATGACCAAGGATTATAAGGAAGTGAGGCAACAAGCTGTTACAGCATTTATTGAATTAGTGTATTGGTATTCCACATCCTGCAGGCTATATTCACTAACCTTTTCATCAGAACAAAGCATCAGTCCTTATCGATCTATAGCTCATTTTGCCCATGGTAGCCTCTTGCTGTTAGTTGTTCACGGATAAGGATGTTCTTTCCCCATTTTCTATCCTTCATGTAATAAAATTTCCATCTTTCAGACTATTAATACATTATGCTTCTTCCATTGGTTTATCGGAAAGCTCTGAATGTGTCTTTACAAAACAAAAAATAAATACATAGATCACAATTAGCCATGTTCTATCTAGACAAATTGGGTTTGTTATCTTTATTTTTGTTATCCTTAGATATATTCTGGGGGTTGTTTGGATTGGATAACTGAACTAGAATGACCAATTGAAAGTAGCATTTTTTTCTGAACTAATCCTCATTTTTTCTCATACATTAGCAATATATATTTCTGAGTAAATTATAAATGTAGATCATTATTCACCTTTGTTTAAAGAAACATAAATCATGCAACAGTAAAGTTGACTTTATGCGCTCCCATACAGTTTCTTATTAAATTAATGGTTAATTTGCTGCCTCACAGCTCTGGGCCCCTGGGTTCAGTTCCTGGAGAACCATCTGAATGGGGTTTGCATGTTCTCTCTGTGTTTGTGTGTATTTCCTCCAGTTTCCTCACATAGTCCAAAGAAAGTTCAGGTGGGTAGCTGCGTCAGCATGCGTAGGCTGCAAAGGAACAAGTAATAGGTTTATTCCATGGAATAAACCTATTACTTGTTCCTTTGTAGTCCAAAGAAATACTGATAGGATAATTGGCTTCTGTAAAAACTGATCCTGGTGTGAGAGTGTGCATTTGTGTCTGTCTGCCCTGCAGTGGACTGGTGTCCTGTCCTGGGTGTATCCTGCCCTGTTCCTGTTGCTTGCTGGGATAGAGTCCGCTTCCCCATGACCCTGAACTGGATGAAGTGGTTTGAAAATGGGTAGATGGATGGATTTTGTGTTTACATCCAGCAGGGGGCACCATTTCTCTTGCTGTCATAGAATATTTTTTCAAATGCTTATCTGAGTCACCTCGGACAGAACCCCTCCAGACTCACCCCTCCCCGGATGCAAGATCCCCTTTTATGGAACTCTGGACTCTGGAAGGG